AAATCTCTCTTTCAAGTTGCAATGCATAAACACACCAGTCGACTGGAATTGGTTGCGTATCCCGACGAGTTGACTATATATTTTTTGATGCACATTATATAGAGCTTAGCTCGTGGCGCTATCACTCAGTACATAGTATCTCGTACACGTGCGCTTATTTGTGTACATAAGCGAGTCTCTCTGATTTGCACTCTCTTTCTCTTTCTCTCTCTGTGTCGCTGTCGCTATCGCTGTCACAGCGTGCACACGCAATGCAAAAATTAATTTTTGGCGGTCTTTTCACCACCCTCATGGCACAATTGACATTTTCGTCAATTTACATTTAAACTTAGGCTAATTGCAAATACATTTCGTTTTGTATTCCGAATGCATTTGTTCCACTCTTTTTCCAATTGATGTTTTTTTTTCTGCCGCATTTTCGATGAGAGATTTCCATCAGGGCGGACATTTTTCGATCAAAGAGAAAATGTTATCCCTTATGTACCAAGATTTTTTCAATTCTGCATTATCGAAAAAAAAAGCTTATTCAATTTTTCACATTTTCCATTGCAGATTGCAATTGGAGATGCATTTGAATAGTGAATAGTATATGCAGAGTGAGTTAACAAAAACACAACAAAACACTAATTGGATCGGTAATTTTTTCAGTTTCAACATTTTCGTTCACTTTTTACTCCCTTTCTCTCTCTCCGTCGGTTGGTTCGTCTTATTTATCGGGTGGCAATTGTTGGAGCACATGTATTGGCATGGCAAATGTACATATTTCGAGGGCACATAGCGGAATGACGACGACGACGATGGCATCACGGGCACAATCAACAGAACACCCAAAAACAAAACCAACGAGAAAAGGGACCCACACACCGGGCAAAAAAAAACAACAACACACAACAAGCGACACATCATCAGCCAACCAGAGAGTGAAAGCGAATGCGTCGCATTTGCACGATACATTCGGTGTGCGTATAGCCGGCGCATATAGAGTTGAGTTTTGAAAGAGAGCTCTCGGATGCTATTGTTGCTGTTGCTGTTGTTGTGCTGTGTGTATGGATTCCGTCTTTCCCTTTTGCGCGCCCGATCACATAGCGATGAATGTTCTGATATATACTCGGCGTGTGCTCACTCATTCACTCGCTCGCTCTCTCACTTTGGCCCCAGTGCACAGCTCTCTATATGGCAAATATCTATGGCACTCTTTGTGAAACAAGCAGCAGCAGCAGCAGCAGGAGCAACGGCAGTAGCACTATGTTTTTGTTGGTGTCGCTTCGCTCTTTTTGTCATTTCTTCTCTCGTGCTATTTTATTTTTTTTATTTCGAATCGGTGTGTGCACGAGTAGCAACATATTGAAAAATGCTCCGCTCGACGAGAGCTTATATACTCGGGGGCTAAATACATAACATATCCGCGAAAAACATGCTGGTTAAGCACGTGGAACTCGGCTTATTGCTTTCGTTTTGTATACAAAACGCAGAGTGAAAAGCCGGTATTGACAGTTGATCGCTTATTCACGTTCGTTCGTTGGAAACAGTAGCGAATCTGAGGTTTTGTTTAATGGAATATATTTTTTTCAGGGGGATGATTACTAGTATGACATCAATTCGTAGCCGGAGAATCGACACAACGGAATACACGAACAAAACTATGTACTCACAATCTTAGCTGCTGAATTGAAGCGTGTTACTCTTTGCCAAAGGCCAATTCGACAACGATTTGCAAACACAAAAGGCAAATAGAGACAAATATTGACCGACCAACCGACAGACAGACACACAAAATCAACACAATTGCATAGACATTTGCAATGATACATGGGGATTTGCTTGCTGCGCCTCTTTATATTTAGGACTTCTTCTTCTTCTTTTGTTTTTTTTTGCATTCATCATACTTCACCAATAAAAATGGTCGCATGTTGACTTTAATGAATTCCATGATCGTTAATTGAATCACTAAACAAAGTAAGTTTATGGCCGTAATGATTATTTTAATTGATGAACCATACTTTTTTCTTATACATATTGTGTTTGTGTATGCGTTTGTGTCATCTTCTTCTGTTCAACGTTCTCTCACTTCGATTGTGCAGTGGCGAAGCAGCAAACAAAAAAAAAACACCACACAACGCACAAAGCAAATAAAATGAATTGAAGTGAGATAGAGCGAATGCAATGTCGAACAGCGACCGAACGATGAACGATGACAATAAAAATTGTAAATTAACCAAATGATAAAAAGAATAAAAATGCTCAGCAGAAGCAGCAGCAGCAGCAGCAACAACAATGCGGAATAAATTTAAATTAGCGCTTTTCGGTTATTATTATTTTTCCTTCATTTTAATGTATATCAATTATGCAATTGCTGCGCATTTGGATTGCACTTGGAATCATAGCAGCAGTAAGTATTGAGAAGAGAGAGAGAGAGAGAGAGAGAGAGAGAGAGAGAGAGAGAGAGAGA